CTGACACGCCGTGATATAACTGCAATACTGTTAAAAGCGGCGTTAAACCCAACTCACTTACTCACTCATATTGTCTGGTTAACCTCAGTCAGATCAGGGGTTGGAGAGAGGGGGGGTTGGAGAGAGGGGGGGGGGGGGGGGGGGTGGAGGGTAGGAGGGGTGGTGACATGTGAACCTATTGACATGGACTAAGATGTCATCAGTATCCACATCATCCTCATCTAAGTTGAACAAGAACATCCTGGATCAGTAGCCCCATTTCTGTGGCAAAACTTTGTAAGCATCTTCTATGACATCTTGAATAAACAGTAATGCTTGCAACTACTCACATCTCTTACATCCATGAGAAATTCCCACAATTTGATTGTCATCAGACTAAAAATATCTTAAGATTTCAACAGAAGTCCTCTTCATTGTCAACTATCCATAATTAGTTGTGCAAGCTATAGTATTTTACCTCCCTTGCTAACATATTACTTTTGCTAGAGTAACATAACACTTTACAGGTTGCGTTTTCCCCACGTTCCTCCATCACTGTGAATATGACAGCTTTGCAATGGTGTTGTGACTTTTGTGATTTTGAATCAGCCAATGTAATAAGCCTGTTTATTACTTGCTGAAGTCAATTAACTCCATGCCTGGACTTTGTGCGAACCCGACCAATGCCTGATGATAAAGCGATGTGTAGAGCTGATGGAGGAAGGTGTGTATGTTTGTACCCAAGAAGTATTAAAATTGGATTAGAACAAAAGGTATCTTTTGAAAATAAAAAAATAAAAAATTATGTCTTAAAATTGGGAGTTTTAAATAATTCACAAATACATAAAGCCAAATTTATTTATTTTGAGTACTATGTCCTCTAAATTCATACACTTTTGTCAAGCAATGAATTTCTTGAAAATTGAAAAATAGGCAATTGACACCCCACTGATGTTAACTATAACAAGCCAGCAATTCCAGGAAAAAATTCAACTTGCTGTGTCCAGTTATTTCTCTCCTGGTGAGTCTTCTTGCTGTGTCTAGTTATTTCTTTCCTGGTGAGTAATCCTTGCTGTATCCAGTTATTTCTCTCCTGGTGCGTCTACTTGCTGTGTCTAGTTATATCTCTCCTGGTGAGTCTACTTGCTGTGTCTAGCTATATCTCTCCTGGTGCGTCTAGTTATAGCTCTCCTGGTGCGTCTACTTGCTGTGTCTAGTCCTCCATACTGTACATGCCGGCTGTGTATTCATGCATATATTTCATCATCGCTGTACAGAGAGATGCATTAAAATACTGTGCAATGTCTTTGTGTTTTGACTTTTTCTTGAACTGATCAATTCCATCAGCCCTGTGTTTTGTCTGCCGTTTGTATGCCGTATACAATAGGACAGTCTGCTGCATTGTTGAGCTGGAACGAGTTACTCGAGACCCGGGGACCCACAGGACTACCTCGACCCCGTGGTTAGTCACATGATTTGTTGTTTATTTACTAGGGGGCACGGTAGCCCAGTCGTCTAAGGCGCCTCGATTCGCTGTGCAGACTTGCGTCCCTTGGGCACGCCAGAAACCTATGATTGTGGGTTTGACTCCCGGTTCGCCCCGATTATGTTTCTAGGTTTGTCAGCACCATACCCGTGCTCGTGGGTTTCACCGAAGTGGTAAACGTCTTAGACCTGCATCATTTCCTCACACATTAATGATGGATTGATTCTTATGATGTAAATCACTGGATTATCTGGTCCAGGCTCAATTATTTACAGACCACCGTCAAACAGCTGGAATATTGCTGCGGCGTGAAACAACAAACAAACAATCACAGAGATCTTAGCGCAAACCCAGTGGTTGTAAGCCAGAGCACTGATCTATGCCACCATGAAACCCTGTCAGGCAAATCACGTCTGATCGCCATAACAACCACAGGATACAGCAGATGAACACGCCCACAGTAAGGGTGTCTGCACAGAGGTCATTTCTGTTACATTGCCGTCATATTCTATGTGTAAACGCCAACTGCGTGAGACCCAATTCACCAAGTATGGCACCTCTTCCTCATGGGGACTGCATTAGTGTAGGTCTCCAGCACTCTTCTGCTCGTCAAAGAGCAGCGGTAGGTCCGACTTGTCATCACACGTGTTTGCATTACTCATTCTCATGGACCATTATTCTTACTATGAACCAATAATTAACCTCACGCGATATGGGGGGCACAGGTGGCCCAGTCGTATAAGGTGCCGCGATTTGCTGTGCAGAGTTGCGTCCCTTGGTCACGCCAGAAACCTATGATTGTGGGTTGGAATCCTGGTTCACCCCGATTATGTTTCTAGGTTTGTCAGCACCATACCCGTGCTCGTGGGTTTCACCGAAGTGGTAAACGTCTTAGACCTGCATCACTTCAGGCTTTCATCCCACATTAAGCTGACATGCTGTGATATACCGTTAACTGGAATAATGTTAAAAGCGACGTTAAACCCAACTCATTCACTCACTCACACGATATGGATTACCACCATCATATAGCTGGAATATTGCTGAGTGCAGCTTTAAACAACAAGAGGACAAGGTCATAGATATCCCTTATAATTTGTAAATATGTCTTGCCATGGAAAGTCAAAACAGAAATCCAAAATTATCAAAAGTCACCAGTTCACCACTAGATCTATCCACGTGCCAAGTTTAGTGAAGAAATATAACATTATGGACCAGCTCAAGCTCAAATTGTTTGATAGGCATTACTTAGAAGTTGACGGATTACAAGGTAGACACAATTTTATGGATAACAACTTCTTTAATACTGTGAAAAGCGACGTTTCGGTATAGATCCTTATACCATTGTCAAGCAAGACTGAATGAGGGACATAGTGCAGAATATATATAGTAGGTGGAGGATTAACAGTAGAGGATTAACAGTAACAACAATTGCATACATGAGTTGGATAACGTGTCCATAAAATTGTGTCTATCTAACCACTAGCTCACCTCACACAATACTGCCATTGAACATGCTATGTATATGGGATTTTGTATCGAGATTAGATATTTGTTTCAGCTTCAGCTACAAAACCAGAATTTTTTTATTTAAAACTATGAGTTTGAATTTATTTGAAAGAAAACCACCTTACAACAATGCAATTTTTTCTGGCAGGCAATTACCTTATTTTTATTTCCTCCCCCAGCCCCAAAGAATATCATATGGTCGGCCCCTTAACTCCTTTGCTGCGGGAAGATAGTGGGAGGTAAGCCAGAAGGAATGATGCAGGTCTCCGATGTTTACCACTTTGGTGAGACCCACGAAAAATATCATCGTGCTGACAAACCTGGAACCATAATCGGGGCAAACCTGGATTCGAACCAATGATCATGGGTTTCAGGCATGCTCAAGACTCACAGCTCTGCACAGCAAATTATGGCGTCTCAAATAACTGGGCCCCCCATGCCCCCTGGGGTATTAAGTATGCCTCTTAACACCATGGGCAGATGGACACGTTGTGTGGAGTCCCTCAATTTACACATTGGAATAAAATGGTGATCATGAAAATATATTCTTCATAACATTATTATCACCTTGTTATTCAGGTAAGTGATTGAGTGATTTGGGTTTAACGCCGCTTTTAACAGTATTCCAGTTATATCGCGGCGTGTCAGCTTAATGTGGAAGGAAAGCCCGAAGTGATGCAGGTCTCAGACGTTTATCACTTCGGTGAAACCCACGAGCACGGGTTTGGTGCTGACAAACCGAGAAACATAATCAGGGCGAACCGGGATTCGAACCCACAATCATAGGTTTCTGGGGTGCCCAAGAGACGCAACTCTGCACAGCGAATCGCGGCGCCTTAGACAACTGGGCCACCCATGCCCCCTATTCAGGTGAGTGTTTAATACTGCTTTGAACAATATTTCAGTCAGATTTGAGTATGCAGGCTATCTATTGGAGGCAAGCCAAAAGTTACACACATCAACCACCTCATATTTTGTTTTTGAACCCATGACCGGCACATTTCAGGGATGCAATAACAAATGGTGGTGCATTATCATTAATAACATCCTTCAGAAAAATATGATACACACTGTTGGTCATACATACACAAACAAGAGGCCCATGGGGCCTGTATCGCTCATCTGGATATTTACGCAATCATGACAAAATATACATTTGCATTGTACATGCATCATCTTCCTGAGGCAAGGGAGTTAACTGACTATAAAAAAGTCCAGTTTCCACCCTTGCCGAACTAGGCTGGTATAATGGAGTTACTTTTTGGCTGGACTGACGAGTCTATGCATAGTCAAATCAAAATCGCGCACAGAAATGGAAATCCGGTTTGTAAACTGTTGTGTAGATTGATGCAAAAAACGTGCACCGCCAATTGTTGTCAGCAGATATTTCCAAATCATTTCATGTTTTTAACCAAGGTGCTCACGTGATTTGATGCATTTCGCGATGCAAGACCTGTTTTATCACTATATAGATCTTGATTATCGATCAGATCGTCATGACTGGACGCCACCATTTTGTGTGAAGCAAATGCAAGTGATACAAGATTGGTATTGATGGTCCATAGGACAGGCTTAGAAGGGACATAACTGGTACGATCGAGGCCAGTTATTCCAGCCTAGTTCGGCAAGAGTGGAAACTGGACTTTTAAAGTAAGTTAACTCTCTTGCCTCAGGAAGATGTACATGTATACAATACTGCAAATATTTTGTAATTTTGACTCTCTTGGGGTTGGGGTAGGGTTCAGCCCCTTGAGGTCAGGCCCTCCATTTGTACAATTTTGAATCCTCACCACCGGAGAATATTTCCAACCAAATATCGTTGATATCTATCTCTTAGTTCCAGAGAAGAAGTCGCTAAAAATGTACAATTTTGAATCCCCACCATCCAGGCATGCTTCCAGTCAAATGAGTGGTTCATCAGAAGTCGTTTGAATAAATTGTTGACGTATGGATGACGGACGCCACAGTATGGCAAGAGCTCACCTTGGTCCTTCGGACCTGGTTGAGCTAAAAACAAAGTCAGATCGAAAGAAAAAAATTTCCTTTATTTATCTTTTAATGTTAAAAGCAATCAGTCTGCACCATCACAAACAAAACAAACAAAACAGGATACATATGCCTCGCTTGATTAGGAAAACAAACTGAAAACAGGTGCCAAATGGGTTGAATCCTGGATAATAACCCATGGCCCCGGTCTGTTTGGCAGAGCTGAGGGATACAATATCAAATACACATAAAAAAGTGCCTCCAATTTAATAAAAATGTTTCCCTCTATTTACTTCTTGATTTTAAAAGCAATCAAATTGCACCATTGCAAACAAAAAAACAAAGTAGGATAAAACCTTGGCTGAATAGGAAAAAACTGTGTAAAGAAAACTATTCACTTTTACAAACATTAGTTTGTGGAGACGCATGACAATAACATTTTATGAAGTTGTATATGGCACTTTCCAATTAATAACTGCTCAAATGCGCTAAGACCATGAGAGATCTTATTATACCCCAGTCACTGGATCAGTGTGCACTTGATTTTTTTTCCTCGCACACCGGGGAGTATACAACAATGAATAAAACAATTCAGTAAACGATACTTAAATGAACCTCGGATAACAAATGAACACTAAATAATGGACTGCAGCACATCTATGACAGAAGCCATGGAATGTGATCAGATGCGTGCTGATGCTTGCCAGCGGCTGCCATGTTGTACCTCCACAGGATCACACAGCCAAGAACAGGGAATCAGTTTTTGGTTTTTCGTTGCCAGATTGTCACAATACAACCACCTTGGCACAGCACCCTATTTCTTAAATTAATACTTCTACTAATGTTCTACAAAATACCCCCGACACATATCAAACTCCCATTGATACATCAGTATAAATGGTAACACCGGGAAAAAAGCTTGATGCAAATATATTCAGTACATGAGTATGCTTCCACATAATGCTGACTAGCAATAACACCCCCTTTTGAAGTTGGACAGGTTTCCAGCCTGATAGCAATTTCCTCCAGATAATGGGTAATAAACTACCCCAAACAAATGTCCTGCTTTTCCAATTTCAAAAGAATCTTTCAAATATTAACAGAAGTTCAGAGATAATATCCTTACATAACTGCCACAATTGTAATGACAATGCCCTGATATTTAACTGTATTGATAGCAATTTCCTCCAGATAATGGGTAATAAACTACCACAAACAATATGTCCTGCCTTTTCCAAAGCCGAAAGAATCTTTCAAATATTAACACAAGTTCAGAGATAATATCCTTACATAACTGCCACAATCGTAATGACAATGTCCTGATATTTAACTGTAGTGATAGCCTACTCCCGTAAAGATCAAACCTTGCGGATGGACAGATATGAATGACTCTCCCAGATAACAGCGCTCAGACATGATTCACCGGGTTTCCACATACAACAACATTAACAACATTAACAACAGCGGTGTTCACTTGAACAGTGCACTCTTGTTGTTGATGGGTCGCTTGATGAACTTGGCACTGCTCATGAAGGTCTTCACGGCAGGCAGAGCCTCGATGCGGCCCATGAAGGCTAACAGCGTGGGGAACGCATCTAGGCTGCCAGGCTTCATTATTCTCGTCTGGTCCAGGAGTTCATAGATTGGAAAGTCACACACTGTCACCTGCCATAAATAAACACGAAAATGTGGTTTTACTCATAAAAACAGATGTCTCCCCCCATCATTTTTTAAATACATTAGTTCAGGTTGTTACTATAAATGTGTTTGCAAACCCAAAAAACAATAATAGCAAAACAATACTGGTACAGATTCTGATTAATGCAACGAGAAATCAGTATCACAGTTGATGCCAGGTTGACTCCTTGTGGTAGAATACACTACTGAACTTGTAACAGCAAAATCTGGTCACAAGAACCCAGTAGATTATTCTTGTGTCAGTATCATACGTAGGCAGAAAAATACTTTAACAAACATTTACCAAAAAATAACCATCTCATTCAAATCTGATCTTAGTTCTCGCTACCGCTAAACAAAGATCTGAGGACATCCCATTACGGGTCACGTCAGACCGACCTTGCGCGAACTTTGACTGACCAATTGAATGACCAATCAGAAGGCAGTTTTCTCGTGCTTTACGGCACTAATTTCAAATTGGCGACTACGCTTCGCAACATATTTTGACAAATTCTCGATTACAAATTTGAAACCTAAAATAAAGAACATTCTGGAATGGCTAATAGGGTCTAGATTGTATGGATTCAGTTGTTAAACCCGTAACTATTGTTCGGAATACCCCATGTTAAAGTTTTCGAGGGTTGTATGATTAGAAATCACATTCTGACTGTCACTTTCATGATCTGGTAAGTGACACTCTCATTGGTCGGATGAAAGGTCGTTCTGACGTGACCCCTAATGGGATATCTTCAGACCTTTGTTTAGAACTAAGGTCTGATTTTGAAGAGATTGAAAAATAACTAATTCAGTATTACCTATAGCTCACACAAATTAGATATTTTTTTCTAAAATATTTTCCAAAATATGTTGTACATTGTTTTCACATCATCGAACAAAAAAGGTTGCACAAATGTTAAACAAGAGTCATCCGAAGATGACATATCCCCCCCGACGTGGTATGTCGGTAAACTGTGTGTACCTTCAAATGTATTTAGATTGGCAAGGAAATCTTTTTCCTTGATGCCAAAACCAGAAATATAATGAAGGTTATTAAATATTGGTTCATGTGGCTCACTTTCTGATGATCTCAAATGTCAGGGGCTACAAATTAAAAAGATTAAAATCTATAAAAAACAAACTGCACTACTAGTGAACATGATTGATATGTGCATAAAGTTTGGTGTATCTCTGTCGCATGGTTTAGAAGATATGCTCCAGACGAGGACATTACCTCAAGTTCATCAATTTTCAATTTAAATTGAAAAAAAGAAAAAAAAAGAAAAAATCTGTTAATAGCAAAGGCACCACTACATAACCTGCTTGATAGGTGTTAAAATTTTTGAGAAGCTAAGAGCACTACCCTCAAATTTCCTAAGTTCATCATATTTCCATGGAAACTACAAAAATATAAAATTCTAAAAATGTCTAAATAGCAGAAGGCACTTCTACTGAGCCTGATTGTCAATTGTACCAAGTTTTGCGAAGCTAGCTTGTACAGTTTAGAAATTATGCTCTGGACAAGAGCAGTACCCTCAAATTTCCTAAGTTCATCATATTTCCATGGAAACGACAAAATTAAAAAATTCCAAAAATCTCTAAATAGCAAAAGGCACTTCTACTGAGCCTGATTGGTAAGTGTACCAAGTTGTGTGAAGCTAGGTTGTACGGTTTAGGAAATATGCTCCGAACAAACAATGATGTCAGACGGACGGACGGACAGACAGACGGACGGACATACTGATGGCTATATCCACTCACCTTGCTGCCGGCGAAGAACTGTTGGTCCCCAAGGAAAGACTTGAACATCTCCAGCTTAGCAGGGAGTGCCTCGAAGTAGGCAGCCTTCTTCTTCTCCTGAATACACAAAATCTGGTGTTTACCATTTCTACATCAAGACTGGAATGCTGAAGTACAGCCACATTTTTGGTTTGTTGTTTAGATATTCAAGCAATATGCCATCAGTCTGTAAATAATCGAGTCTGGACCAGGCAATCCAGTGACTGATAATGAGCATTGATCTGCATAATCGAGATAAGTTGACTAGCATCAACCACGCCAGTGAGCCTGACAACACCAAGCTTTCAGTTGCATCTTGCGACAAGCATGATAGCTGAGGATCAATTCAAACCCAGCTCTTCATGGGGCAGGACAAGAGGGCTGGGACGGGTAACTCTGGTACTCTGGGCGGGTGGGTCAGAACAACCCGGACCCGTGGTAAGTCCCATGATATATTGTTTATTGACAAAAACTCACTATAGGTCAGCGGTTACACTACAAGTCGCTAATGTTCGCATTTCTTTCTGATGATGCACACATTCCTTTTGACTTGTATATGTTTGAGTAAAGATATAGCTTCAGTCAACTTCAGTGTACGCATGATCTGATTGTTTGATACATGTATCTAAATAATTTTGGCCAGGGCTGCGGTAAAACAATTCCTAATCAGACATTTTGTTCCCAGCTCTTGAGACCTGCAGTGGGTGCCCGGGTAGGGTCGGGTAATAGGGGGTCGAGTACCAGGGTAGTGAATTTGGACTCGTCCCAGCCCTACAGGACAACCAGAGCAAAGATTAATTTACCTCAATAATATATGGACATGCCTACAGATTGTGGATTGTATCCAGCTGGCGACTGACTAAATGATTCATTATGTCAAAAATTGTGTCTCACTGCAATTACTGAAGGGGAAACATGTTCCAATATTGTTGTAGGTCTTCGATAAAGGTCTTTTTGTGAGAGAATGACATGAAAGACACCAAGGTATTTTTCAGTGAGGTGCCACTGTTACAATAACAACTAAATTTGTGGAATATAGGGGTATGTGACTTTGTTGCATCTTAACAATGAACAATAAGCAAACTTACAAACTCAGGGTTGTAACATAGCCCGACAATTCCATTTCTGAAGTCCATGGCTGTGTCAAGCATCACATCGACCTTGACCTTCTCCTCCTCTTTTTCCCCCACTGAAACACATCAAGTACACTGATACACCACCAGGCCATGTACACACAGATACACAACCAGGCCATGTACACACAGATACACCACCAGGCCATGTACACACAGATACACCACCAGGCCATGTACACACAGATACACAACCAGGCCATGTACACACAGATACACCACCAGGCCATGTACACACAGATACACCACCAGGCCATGTACACACAGATACACCACCAGGCCATAGACAGATACACCACCAGGCCTTTTACACACAGATACACCACCAGGCCATGTACACACAGATACACTACCAGGCCATAGACAGATACACCGCCAGGCCTTGTACACACAGATACACCACCAGGCCATGTACACACAGATACACCACCAGGCCATGTACACACAGATACACTACCAGGCCATAGACAGATACACCACCAGGCCATGTACACACAGATACACCACCAGGCCACACACAGATACACTACCAGGCCATGTACACACAGATACACCACCAGGCCATGTACACACAGATACACCACCAGGCCATGTACACACAGATACACCACCAGGCCATGTACACACAGATACACCACCAGGCCATGTACACACAGATACACCACCAGGCCATGTACACACTGATACACCACCAGGCCATGTACACACAGATACACCACCAGGCCATGTACACACAGATACACCACCAGGCCATGTACACACAGATACACCACCAGGCCATGTACACACAGATACACCACCAGGCCATGTACACACAGATACACCACCAGGCCATGTACACACAGATACACCACCAGGCCATGTACACACTGATACACCACCAGGCCATGTACACACAGATACACCACCAGGCCATGTACACACAGATACACCACCAGGCCATGTACACACAGATACACCACCAGGCCATGTACACACTGATACACCACCAGGCCATGTACACACTGATACACCACCAGGCCATGTACACACAGATACACCACCAGGCCATGTACACACAGATACACCACCAGGCCATGTACACACAGATACACCACCAGGCCATGTACACACAGATACACCACCAGGCCATGTACACACAGATACACCACCAGGCCATGTACACACAGATACACCACCAGGCCATGTACACACAGATACACCACCAGGCCATGTACACACAGATACACCACCAGGCCATGTACACACAGATACACCACCAGGCCACACACAGATACACCACCAGGCCATGTACACACAGATACACCACCAGGCCATGTACACACAGATACACCACCAGGCCATGTACACACAGATACACCACCAGGCCATGTACACACAGATACACCACCAGGCCATGTACACACAGATACACCACCAGGCCATGTACACACAGATACACCACCAGGCCATGTACACACAGATACACCACCAGGCCATGTACACACAGATACACCACCAGGCCATGTACACACAGATACACCACCAGGCCATGTACACACAGATACACCACCAGGCCATGTACACACAGATACACCACCAGGCCATGTACACACAGATACACCACCAGGCCATGTACACACAGATACACCACCAGGCCATGTACACACAGATACACCACCAGGCCATGTACACACAGATACACCACCAGGCCATGTACACACAGATACACCACCAGGCCATGTACACACAGATACACCACCAGGCCATGGACACACAGATACACCACCAGGCCATGTACAGACAGATACACCACCAGGCCATGTACACACAGATACACCACCAGGCCATGTACACACAGATACACCACCAGGCCATGTACATACAGATACACCACCAGGCCATGTACACACAGATACACCACCAGGCCATGTACACACAGATACACCACCAGGCCATGTACACACAGATACACCACCAGGCCATGTACACACAGATACACCACCAGGCCATGTACACACAGATACACCACCAGGCCATGTACACACAGATACACCACCAGGCCATGTACACACAGATACACCACCAGGCCATGTACACACAGATACACCACCAGGCCATGTACACACAGATACACCACCAGGCCATGTACACACAGATACACCACCAGGCCACACACAGATACACCACCAGGCCATGTACACACAGATACACCACCAGGCCATGTACACACAGATACACCACCAGGCCATGTACGCACAGATACACCACCAGGCCATGTACGCACAGATACACCACCAGGCCATGTACGCACAGATACACCACCAGGCCATGTACACACAGATACACCACCAGGCCATGTACACACAGATACACTACCAGGCCATGTACACACAGATACACCACCAGGCCATGTACACACAGATACACTACCAGGCCATGTACACACAGATACACCACCAGGCCATGTACACACAGATACACCACCAGGCCATGTACACACAGATACACCACCAGGCCATGTACACACTGATACACCACCAGGCCATGTACACACAGATACACCACCAGGCCATGTACACACAGATACACCACCAGGCCATGTACACACTGATACACCACCAGGCCATGTACACACAGATACACCACCAGGCCATGTACACACAGATACACCACCAGGCCATGTACACACAGATACACCACCAGGCCATGTACACACAGATACACCACCAGGCCATGTACACACAGATACACCACCAGGCCATGTACACACAGATACACCACTAGGCCATGTACACACAGATACACCACCAGCCCATGTACACACAGATACACCACCAGGCCATGTACACACAGATACACCACCAGGCCATGTACACACAGATACACCACCAGGCCATGTACACACAGATACACCACCAGGCCATGTACACACCGATACACCACCAGGCCATGTACACACAGATACACCACCAGGCCATGTACACACAGATACACCACCAAGCCATGTACACACAGATACACTACCAGGCCACACACAGATACACCACCAGGCCATGTACACACAGATACACCACCAGGCCATGTACACACAGATACACCACCAGGCCATGTACACACAGATACACCACCAGGCCATGTACACACAGATACACCACCAGGCCATGTACACACAGATACACCACCAGGCCATGTACACACAGATACACCACCAGGCCTTGTACACATGGATACACCACCAGGCCATGTACACACAGATACACCACCAGGCCATGTACACACAGATACACCACCAGGCCATGTACACACAGATACACCACCAGGCCATGTACACACAGATACACCACCAGGTTACACACAGATACACCACCAGGCCATGTACACACAGATACACCACCAGGCCATGTACACACAGATACACCACCAGGCCATGTACACACAGATACACCACCAGGCCATGTACACACAGATACACCACCAGGCCATGTACACACAGATACACCACCAGGCCATGTACACACAGATACACCACCAGGCCATGTACACACAGATACACCACCAGGCCATGTACACACTGATACCACCAGGCCATGTACACACAGATACACCACCAGGCCATGTACACACAGATACACCACCAGGCCATGTACACACTGATACACCACCAGGCCATGTACACACTGATACACCACCAGGCCATGTACACACTGATACACCACCAGGCCATGTACACACAGATACACCACCAGGCCATGTACACACAGATACACCACCAGGCCATGTACACACAGATACACCACCAGGCCATGTACATACAGATACACCACCAGGCCATGTACACACAGATACACCACCAGGCCATGTACACACTGATACCACCAGGCCATGTCGAGTGACCACCTACCCCCCTCCCAGACACACATCTCAGTATGTACTTACAGAGGTTGTGCTTCCTGGCGATGTAGCGTAGAATTGCATTACTCTGAGTGATCTTAATGTCACCATCCACATAGTAGGGCAGCTGAAACAAAAATGGCAGTTTTATAAAAAAAGGTTTATAAAATACAACATCCCAAACACTATATTGTCACACCTTGAACAATTAAGTTCATAAGCCCACAGTAGTCTCAAAACTAGTCACAATCTGGAATGACTACGCCAAATATTTTCACCCAAAAACTAGTTGTATCATATGAACCACCAACCCAAAGATGGGAAGTGGCCTTTGCCCGCTCTGGGCCCCGTTCCACAAAGCGATCGTAACTACAATCAATCTTAGAGACTTACGTCGATTCTAAAATTGTCTTAGCTAAAGTTTACAACCATTCCACAAAGCGATCTTAGGGCGATTGTAACTTTACAAGTTCTTAAGTAGCCGATCTTAACAAAGATCGGAATCTTCAGCCATAAAGATACCAAATTTTCCCTTGGGTCATGTTTAGCAGACGACGCATTTCCTTGCACGCCATAATAAAAGTCGCCATCTTTGTTGTTATGGTACAATATTTAAGATCGATTTTAGCAATCCTAAGTTGGTCAGAGCAACTTAGCATTTTGATCTTAACTTACAACTCTCTTAGTTAAGATTGCTTTGTGGAACGGGCGGCTGATCGTAACAAAAATTTAAGATCACATACTTAGTGAGTTACAATCAACTTAGCCCTAAGATCTCTTTGTGGAAAAGCATAGAGTTGACTCCTGGTATCCATCTTCCCAAGGTTATGCCTCAGTCACATATACACCAGTCGCCAGACAATGAGGGGGGCATCGGTGGGTTTCACCGATGCCCCGGTGTGCCACAGATTTTCCGGCTGATCATAGTTTGTGTTCGCCATCGAAATTGCTGCAGGAACTGTATCACATTTCAGTTGATTATGTAAGTATGTGGAGTCTGAAACTTCGGAAATGAAGAGTGGAAAGGCAAAGGGAGCTTGGGGCTCTAGCGTACTGCATATGGAGCCAGGCCAGTCACAGTGTGTGGAGGGACAGGCATCCTGAAGACATTCTATGCTGCTCATCCCATTCAGCCCATTATAAACACTCCGGTCACCGGATGGGAACACCCCGAGTATTGACCGATTCCCGGCAGATGACCTTTCGGCTATCCTCTGATGACCATACCACACCCGTGCACTGCAAAATTTGTCCGATTCCCACACGGTCTAGCAGGTGCCTGGAGGGTAACTGGTAGGCTGCCGGAAGATGTGTCACAGATCCATTACCGATGGGTGTGTGGACCACCGGTCGCCGCAAGAAAATAACTCAGAGTTATTTTCTCCCAATGTATCCACCGGGGTCTTCTCGATGTCAAAAACATGGCCAATGCTCGGAGATGATCGTCTGGTGCCCCAGGTATCTCTCAATTTTGCTGATTTTCAGCCTTTTCAGGCATTGTAAACTAATCTTTCCCGGCATCGGTGGATGCGTGACTCAGGCATTAGGGAGTTGACTGACTGTAAAAGTCCAGTTTCCATCCTTGCCACAGGAGGCTGGAAGAGCCACCACTGGCTATTACGAGTTATGTCCCTTCTATGTCCATCCTATTAACCACCCAGAGTCCACCTCTCATATCACTTGCATTTGCTTTATAGAAAAGGGCGTCGCCCAGTGAAGACGATCTGACTGATAACCAAGATCTCTATTGTAATAAAACGGGCCTTACTTTGCCAAGTGCATCAAATCACGGGAGCATCTTGATTAAAAACATGAAAAGATTTGAAAAATTTCTGTTGACGCTAAGTTGTCGGTACACATGCTTTGCAGTTTAAATATGGCTGTTTAACGACCCAATGTCGATTTCGTTACACAATTTTGATTGGACAATGTAGAACTTCAGAATTAAGAAAGATGCATGGCATCTTATATGGAACTGAAAGAGTCAGGACTATTGTAAGAGCTGCCTTTAGAATACCCAGCATGGTGACACATGTTGCTGTTTCTATGGACATCTTTCTCTGGATGCTGCAATGATGCAGCTGTTACACTGATCAACTCACATTGGGGAGCGGCAGCCCAAGGGTGAACTTCACTTTGGTCCAGCATTCCCGGCTGTACTCAGGGGCTGAAGGAAAACAACAAATACTTCTTACTCAATCCAAAATGTTGAAACATCTACCTTTGTAAACAGTAGGGCAAGGACAATACACCAAATGTGCGATCCAATGTATATCACGATACCTTGCTCACGATTGGATACATATCGCGATACCTTGCTCACGATCTGATATATATCACGATACCTTGCTCACGATTGGATACATATCGCGATACCTTGCTCACGATCTGATATATATCACGATACCTTGCTCACGATTGGCTACATATCGCGATACCTTGCTCACGATCTGATATATATCACGATACCTTGCTCACGATCTGATATATATCACGATACCTTGCTCACGATCTGATATATATCACGATACCTTGCTCACGATTGGATACATATCATGATACTTGCATGTTTCCCTTATCTGTGGTGCGTAAGCCATCTTTTTCATAGACAGGATGGCCAAATACCTGGCACACTAACGATTTACAGTTGGCAGAGACAAGTATGACGCAATGGATGAAAATATGTACGTTTCCACTGCTCATTTTCCCCAGTAATTAGTATTTGGTGTAACATGTACTAAAGAATTAAGGAAAGAATTGATACTTTAACTTAGAGTTTGATTGTGATAGATTTGTGTATTGAGAAGTAAAACATCGTGATCCACCAATACATCGATGTATCCTCCCACTACCAGTCAACAGTAGAGTAGAACATACAAGCTTTATTACTTGCATCATAATTTCAAATCAAGCTTGTACGTTATGCTGTTAAAGGAGGTTATTCAATGAATAGGGGGTCATGCTTGGTAACTTGGTTCATAGTGTGTCATTGTACCCTAATGGTTTTGGTTTGGTTTGGTTTGTTGTTTAATGCTGCACTCAGCAATATTCCAGCTTTATGATGGCAGTTTGTAAATAAACAAGTCAGGACTAGACAATCCCGTGATCGACATCATGAGCATCGACGCAATTGGGGTACGATGCCATGCATCAACCATGTCCGCGAGTCTGACCACCCGATCCCGTTAGTCGCCTCTTTGTACTTACGACAAGCATAGTCGCCTTTTACGGCAAGCATGGGTTGCTGAACACCTATTCTATCCCGGATCTTCACATGTCATGAGGATGCAGTTTCTACATTTGTTTCATAAAAAAATAGCCATGAAAGCTATCAGTTTATACAAACACAAAATGATTATCACAACTGTTAATTGAATATTTTCCCATTTTTGTGTGCAGCATGTCATTGTTAGAGTTGGAAATTAGATAGAAATGTATGTGTCACGTTGGCAACATATTGTGACCCTATATTGATATATGACATTATCCCGTTATGAATCGCAGTGTGACAGAGAAACGTTATCAAGGCCCTGCCATTTATTGTATGAAAAGTGTCTCACCATCGCCCTGCTCGTACATAACATCGTCAAAATCTTCTCCAGCATATTTCAGCAGCAGACGAATAGGCTGTGCCAACTGAAACACAAACACAATATCTGCATCATAATCATCTACATCAACAGTAGTAGTTAGCATGGTTAGGCAACGTTCACTACTGTTTAATAAAAACCAACGCGCCCAGGTGTGATGTTGACAAACCAAGGATTAAAACCAATCACACAGGTGTGGTGCTGACAAACCAAGGATTAAAACCAGGTCTAATTTGGGATTTGAACCCACAATCATAGAATTGACCCCCATGCATGACCGCCCCCCCCCCCCCCCCCCCGAAATGATGACAACAATTTGAATAGATTGAAAACATCTGGATACTTTAATAAATTGTAGGTAGAAAGTTCATGGGGTCCTAAATTACATTCACGAATATCAATTTATGTCTAAAATGTCTATAAGTACTTCTTTTAATAATCCAATCATCACATCAGGCTTGATCAAATTGAACATCTCACAAATAACATCTCATTACTTCCAACTTCCACATACAACACAAAAAACTAGATTGCTGGCAGGATCAAAATTGAAAAAAACAAACCAGGATCTAAATTGAAAAAAACAAAACAGGATCTAAATTGAAAAAATAAAACAGGATCTTTAGTTATTTTAATCATAAACATTTGTCACGGTCATTCTTCTGGTCTGAAGACCACCTCCTGGTCTTGTGGTAGAGCGTCTCCCAGGAGAGCGGAAGGACCGGGGTTTGATCCCCGGCCGTGTCAAACCAAAAGACGTGGTACTTGTTGTTACCCTGTCTGGCGCTCGGCATAAAGGGGCCAAAACAAGGACTGGTCTGCTCGGAGTCAGTATACTGTGTCTGAGTGGGGTATTCATGTTAAATGGCATCATGGTAAATCAGTGAGCTAGCACTATTAATCGGCATCAGTCTGGACTAGTACAAGTGCGCGCGCACGCACACACGTGCATGTGTAAGAGTGAATATCATCCTACAGTACCCTATTTTTTATCCAGGGTATGAAATTCTCTCGTGTCAGGATGATTCTCCCTAGTGAACAATGGTGAATCTGAACCCATACCAGTGTGTTTAATCCTATCAACAGATCAACATATATTTACCCCCAAATTTCCCCCCTCACACCCCAACCAAACATGATGAAAATGCAAGTATCAACATAAATAACACTAGAATATTTTAACCTATTGCTAGTATTGAAGTCTGCATGGTCTGTCATGGGATAATATACACTGATTCATGTTAAAGTTAGTGTAAATGATCCCAGGATACATTTTCCTATTTCCACTAAGGTATGTTTCACTGGGATGAATTACCCTTAATGTTTGGACGTAACCATGATAACCTTTCCCAGATTTCCCACACTCAGGTAGGATACTATACTCTAGAGTAAAACTTCCCCCGGGATAATATTTAGGTAGGATATTATCCTTGCTTACACATGCACGTCGCTATGTAAGTGCAATAATCTTGGACGCGACGTTAAGCCCAATTTTCACCCCACCTCTGGTCTAAAAAAGTACCATGAAATTATTTTACCATTATCAATCCTAATGTTATTAGGTAAATCTGTGCGACCGTGTCTCAAATGTTGTACTGCATGCCAAAAGGAACGTGTGAATTAATCGGTGCCTATACGAGTATTTCTATACATCAGTTGAGAAATGGTATGCTGCACACAGTAATGTTGATGCAATCTGTCACTGGGGCATTGACACTACATTCCTGGCAACACCAAGGCCAGGATCTGCCGCTCTGAGGGGTTTTACAAAGAATTTAAGATTTGACTTTAACAGTTTTTACATGTACAAAACCTGTGTGCATATTGTGTAAATCTGCATAGCACAGTAGCAAGGTGTAAACCTGGTTTCTGGTTATAACTCCATAAACACCAAAGATACTGAATTTGATTCTGTAATGGAGAAACCATCGAATCTGTCGATCCCCGAAGGATGGAGGTGACTCTACCCCGGGGATCAACAGATTTAAGTGACTTCTCTGACTCAACGAGGTAATGGTCAAGACAAAGTAGACACAATTTATGGCTAAACAACTTCTTTATTTTGATATGGATCCTTATACCATCGTCAAGCAAGGCATTACTTGAAGTTAACTTGACAAAGTAGACACAATTTAATGCCTATCAAACTACTCCTGTGATCATGGTAATGGTTGACGATTTCTCCATTATTTTGCATAATGACCTATAGTCACATGCATGTTCTGAATGGCCCATGAATTCTTGGCTGAGACAACAGCAACAGTGTGATGTCATCATACTGGATTACTCAAAATACCAGTAGCGTGCAATACCGGTAGGGTACATACGTCAACAAAACCATCAACCAAATACAAGACTGTGAAGTCAAAATTAAACCCATAAATGATGACATCAAGTCAACAATAATAACTTCACAGTATGTCTGCTTATGTAAACATAACATAATTAGTGAGTGTGTATGGTTTTACGCCGCTTTTAGCAATATTCCAGTAATATCACGGCAGAGGACACCAGAAATGGGCTTCACACATTGTAACCATGTGGGGGGAATCGAGCGAGCGAATGCTTTAACTAATAGACTACCCCACTGCCCCAAGCACACAAGTTTGCTTGATTGTTTGTTCTTTAACGCCACACTCAGCAATATTCCAGCCATATGATGGCAGTCTGTAAATTAACGAGTCTGGACCAGACAATCCATTGAATGACATCATGAGCATTGATCCACACAATTTGGATACAATGACATGCGTCAACCAAGTCAAAGAGCCTGACCACCTGATCCTGTTAGTCCCCTTTTAGGGCAAGCATTGGTTTCTGAAGCCCCATTCTAACCCGAGTCTTCGCGGGTATGTAAAGCAAATGAGACATGAAGCCCCATTCTAACCCGGGTCTTCGCGGGTATGTAAAGCAAGTGAGACATGAAGCCCCATTCTAACCCGGGTCTTCGCGGGTATGTAAAGCAAGTGAGACATGAAGCCCCATTCTAACCAGGGTCTTTGCGGGAATGTAAAGCAAGTGAGACATGAAGCTCCATTCTAACCCGGGTCTTCGCTGGTATGTAAAGCAAGTGAGACATGAAGCCCCATTCTAACCCGGGTCTTCGCGGGTATGTAAAGCAAGTCTGACATGAAGCCCCATTCTAACCCGGGTCTTCGCGGGTATGTAAAGCAAGTGAGACATGAAGCCCCATTCTAACCCGGGTCTTTGCGGGTATGTAAAGCAAGTGAGACATGAAGCTCCATTCTAACCCGGGTCTTCGCGGGTATGTAAAGCAAGTGAGACATGCTAACCCGGGTCTTCGCGGGTATGTAAAGCAAGTGAGACATGAAGCCCCATTCTAACCCGGGTCTTTGCGGGTATGTAAAGCAAGTGAGACATGAAGCCCCATTCTAACCCGGGTCTTCGCGGGTATGTAAAGCAAGTGAGACATGAAGCCCCATTCTAACCCCGGTCTTTGCGGGTATGTAAAGCAAGTGAGACATGAAGCCCCATTCTAACCAGGGTCTTCGCAGGTATGTAAAGCAAGTCTGACATGAAGCCCCATTCTAACCCGGGTCTTCGCGGGTATGTAAAGCAAGTGAGACATGAAGCCCCATTCTAACCTGGGTCTTCGCGGGTATGTAAAGCAAGTGAAACATGAAGCCCCACACGTAAAGTGGACAAAAACATGGTAATGATGATCAAACAAATGTTTTCACTGAAATACTTTTCTGTTTCACCTGTAAATTCTAACAAGCACTCCTAAACATTTTTATGAGTGCCTTGTGGCACATTCGTAAGAAACTACATTTGATTTGTACATATAACACACCTTAATGCTTAGGTAACACAAACATGCACAGACCACTTGTGGCATTTGAGCAGCCAAGCAATCAAGACGATTCGTACAAAGATTTCCGTGTGTTATGTAAACTGTGTATTGGGAAACAAGGCACAGGTGATGGGCTTACATCATCAGTAGGAATGGACACTTTTCAGGTTGAATTGGTCCATGGTTAACTTTTCATGAAAATTCAAACTTCTTTCAAATGAAAAGATAAAACCAGGTAGAGAAAGAGCCTGTCCTTGCCCGCTGGAAATATCTTATTTAGAAGTTATGGGAAGTTTGAAATAGCTTGTATTGTCATTTTGTTGTTTATCGCTATGCTCAGCAATATTCCCGGCATGTCGTTTATATGACGGGGACAAAATGTTGTTTGGAAAAGTATCAGACATTCAACATGTTTAAATGTCTGACAAGGAGACATATTTCTTTCTTTCTTACACCAGGTGACCTGCAAGTTTTGGACAAAAAAATAAGTATGGCTAAAATTACTGGAAGTCTAATAATGAGCAAGAAGTTGGTGCCTTAATTGTGTCTCTATGTGATTTGGGTAATCGTTAACTGAAAGATTCACATGTCTCAAAATTTGATTAGTCAGACAAAGGTGGGTTTTAAAGTTATAATGACTTGTATCAGTTGACTAAGTCGTTGCATCAATTTCAAAATGTGATCTCAGTTGATAATTCATTTATCATACACCAGCGTCTGTAGCTTGTTTCATTGGCCCTACTGTTACCAACCAATGGTTGAACAGAAATGTTCCTTGTTTGGGATATAAAATGTAATTTCTTAAGTTTACCAAAGCAACATGGTGGATCATATCAATATATTAGTAAAAGCTCTGTTCATTGTCCCTTCCCTACAGCAGCCTTGAAAAAACACTGCATCATATTCTTTCTATCTGGTGGATGAAAGACAACAAGGTTCTACTGGAAGTAAAATATTGCAACCTACACGGATGTATACTGAGATTGAAGCAAACAATCCCACTGCAAGTCACATTCATTTTAAACAATAAAAGCCCCATCTGTAATTTCCATAGGGCTTCACAAAAATGTGTATTTCATATTTTTTATATTTTTTTTTGTAAGTATGTTAATGTCACCCTCCAATCCCATTTTCCCCAAACACCTTGCATGTCAACTGCGCCCTGGGCCAAGTCAAATCCGCCTCTGAAAGTAGGCACAGCACAAAGGAACTTGATGTCAGCATGTATAGCATACTGTATTCATGTAGAAAAAAAATCACACCCCTCTACATGTAGAAACCAGCCGGTGGAGAAAGGGGGGGGGTAGGAGGAAATATTTTACAGAAAACCGTTTTATTTGAATCAAGTTGGGGACAAGTGATACTTGTACAAATATTTGCCCCCCCTGTCAAAAACAGTTAACTGCAACCTTGTCTAGATGTAGAAACATTATCACTACCCTCTACATGTATATGTATAGTGGAGTGTTATTTTTATTATGCTGTACACACTGACATCAAGGAATTTTTGATTTGTCAGACAAAGGGGTGTTTATGACTTGATTACTTTCTAGGACTAACAATTATTCAGAGGCTATTCACTTTAAAGGTTAGAACCCACTGGACCCTCGGTTATTCTATACTATACTATACTATACTATGAAATGAAATTAAAGACAAGCCTTCTTTATACATTCAACCTCTTAATTGATGAAGTTCATTTTTTTCTAAACTTTACAAATATTTGCTTTATCCACATTTATTTTTTAGACTAAAGAACTGCCAATTAGATTGTTTTAACAACACGTGCAGCAAACATTTCTGATGACAGTGTTTCTTACCTCGACTCAAGACAGCCCCGCGTATAAAGAGAAATGCTATGTCATGTGGCAAGTTTAACAACGAAATAAAACAATATTAATAGAATCTGCCTGCATCACAATCCAATTATGCTTCAATATCAACAAAAGATGTTTTATACTCACGCCGCGAATAGCCCAGTATCCAAGAGTAGGCATGATGTAGTTTTGGCGAGAGAAAAAATGCTAGCACAGTAATACTCAAGTCAACCAAGTTTATGCGACAGGAGATAAGGCAGTTAACGCCTGGTATTTATACTCTCGGGAAGTTGCCCGGATGATCCGGCTTCTCCCTGCCAAGTTCAAGGTTACACGGAAGGAACAGTCATTACGTCACTCTTTTATCCGGGACCCGTTATTATGATTCGTCTAAAAAGCCTGCTCTATATGCCATGCAAACAACATAAACGTGTATGATTTAACAGTGATATATATTTTTATTCAAAAGCCAAGGCACAGCGCGTGTTTTGTAGTTGTATGTTTGTGAAATTCACACAACAGCACTGTCTGACCCCTCGAGTTCCAAGAAATCGGTTTCGATTCCTCCGAAACGGATGATTCCGAGAATGCAAGCACAATGATGAAGCACTTTGTCATATTATGATGAACAGCTTAGAATATTCCAGAGAGGGAAATTTGCAGTTTTTATGAATAACTATTTTGTCGTTTCTTCGAGTAAAAATTCCATTTATGTAATAATGCCATATATCTCTAAACTATTTATTGATATCATCACGGACTTGTATAAGGTCCATGATATCATTTATAAGTGCATATTTATTTATATATTTATTTATTTATTTATTTATTTATTTATTTATTACTATCCATCCACATCATCAATGTGTCTGTATAAAGACTCCCTGATATTAACTATTTAAGCTTTCAGCTACCTGTTTAATCATTTTAATCAGAGTGAATGAGTACGGTTTTATGACGTTTTAAGCAATATCTCATCACTATCACGGCTATTGTAATAACCATATTTCTAATGACCGTATTACAAATACATTGCCGATTAAAAAGAATTCTTAAGATCTAGCATACGGATAACTGTTTGATATGATTAATATTGACTTGGCAGCTATTATACGTGAGAGGGTTCTTCACACTTTGTAAATGTCTGTGAAAAATAGTATATTGTCTTGTATGCTCCCAAAGCTTATAGGGATGTTCAAGGACTAAAAGATATATATCTGTAGTGGATACATTATATATGTGTTTTCCCTATCACTTAACCTATATGAAAGCCACTCCTGTCTCTGTCATGTTTTAACCCTGCATCTCTATCCGTTTAAGTACCTACGGCCAGCAGTCCGCGTGTGATTATTGTTTATCACAGTTCCTATTCGTGTGAAGAAACGATTGAGTGCGTCAGAATTTTTAAAAAACGTCTTTTGAGTGAGTGAGTGAGTTGGGTTTAACGCCTCTCTTAACAATATTCAAGTTATATCATGGCGTGTCAGCGTAATATGGAAGGAAAGCCTATAGTGATGCAGGTCTCGGACGTTTACCACTTCGGTGAAACCCATGAGCACGGGAATGGTGCTGACAAACCTAGAAACATAATCGGGGCGAACCGGTATTCGAGCCTACAATCATAGGTTGCTGGCATGCCCAAGGGACGCAACTCTGCACAGCGAATCGCGGTGCCTTGGACGACAGGGCCACCCGTGTCCCCAAAAAGCGTCTTTTGACGCAACAGAGATTTTGATTCTTTGAGAAAATACTGAATAAAAAAAATATACTTGAAAACGACCAATGTGATCCAATCGTCAGCTCAATCAAACCTTTAAAAATATAGGATTTATAGAAAATCATAATCACCATTTGAGAAATAAAAACATGGTACAGCTACTTTTGCCTTTGACGTACTATAGTATTTATTAGATCTCTACCTTGGATCTGAGCCTTGCGTCAAATATACCGTCTTAACGGATCCGTATTAATATAGTGTAATATATGCATTTGTACTTCTCATTCATACTTTTATATAGGTGAAGCAAGCGGATCTCCGGACAATACCGTGCAGTGAATGTTTTCTTTTAAAAGATCGTTACCTGTACAAGCCGGATGTTATTTCAACACTGACAAAGCGCACCTGCACGAGGAAGGTGGGACACGGTTTACCGGTATAACATGTGCACGTTGCGATGGCTGTTTTATGAACGCAGTGATCCCTCCCTACAACGCTATACCTTGGGGTTCCAAATATTTGACGAGCGTTATAGACGATCAGCGGTTTAACCGGGGTAGAGTTGTAGCAGGGTTGATGACCAACACAACAGTACATGCTTGCTTTGCCTACCTAACTCGATCTACGCTGCACGTCTCAGAGTTCGAGAACAGATTAGAAGATAGGAACTGTTTATTATTCATAGTGTAAAAAAGATTTATTGTATGAAGGATTTCGTTGAATTTCACAATTAATATTGAATAAATTTAAACTATTACATAAGTAAACATTTAAATGTATTTATGACAGTCACTATTTCCAGATAAGTTTGATAATCACTTAGGACCCAAAAGCCAGTTTGTTTGTTCAACGGAGCTCTAGGGAATATTCCAGCTATATGACGGCGGTCTGTAAATAATCGAGTCTGGACCAGGCGATCCAGTGATTGATATCATGCGCATCGATCCACGCATTTGGGATACCTTGACATGTATCAACCAAGTCAGCGAGCCTGACCACCAAATCCCGTTAGTCGCCTCTTACGACAAGCATAGTAACCTTGCTGAAGACCCATTCCTACCCGGATCTTCACGGGTCCCAAATGCCAGAAAGAATTCAGACTTTGAACCCCAATCTTTCGAACTTTCGATCCACAGCGGAGATTATTTACATATGTGGCGGGCCTAGTCTTCATAAGTCTTCCATTGTACAAGGGGTCGGTCGGATAGCCTAGTGGTTAAAGCGTTCACTCGTCACGCCGAAGACCCGGGTTCGATTCCCGACATGGGTACAATGTGTGAAGCCCATTTCTGGTGTCCCCCGCTGTGATATTGCTGGAATATTACTAAAAGCGGCGTAAAACCATATTCACTCATTGTACAAGGTGTTAAATATAGGTGACTACTTTTGTATTTACACACAGTAAATAGCTGTCATCAGTGCAGAATATAAGCGTGGATTATTTTTTAGTCTCCCTATGATGTGTATATTTTCCGTACGTGTAACATTTGGAATTATACGAATTCTATGGGATGTTTGCTGAATTTACTTGCCAATTGTTATAAGCTTTTTGCTACAAGACTATATTATAATAATTCACATGCTACGCTGAAATAACACAGAACACTATTGGGTGTCATATTGAGCTGGAGAGCTGTTGTCACGTGAATATCACAATTCTGTTATACAAGGTTCACTGCTGTTGCATATAGGTTATCTGACGCTTTATCTTATACACCGTATTCGCCATTTTAAACGCCCTGCACAAATAAACGCCCCTTGACCGACTTCTAAACCTATTTGCAAGTATTTGCATCCCCCCACACCCCATCCCCCCACCCCACACCCCACACCCCCACCGCATACTAGGCCTAACAGTGCGTATTCTTTCGCGTCTACCAGTATTACATTGCTCACAGGAAACTGCAATGGAGAATTAAAATACGTTACTTTGGAACCATTATCAAAATCGTTTAAGTTTAATCGACGTTGGAATCAATTTGCACACTACCCTCCGATCTCTGGTGTTGTTTTTTTAACTTGATGTGTTATTACTAAGCGCCCCCATGACGTTTTCTAATTCATGACGTGTATATCTTGAATAAAGATTGAGTGGATGTATCTGTTTGCTCTGTCATCTGTCATGAGTTGCATAATTGAAGGGAAGTTACTCTTCCAGTAAGAAGCTGGTTTCAGTTATACGGAAATTCGTTTATACGGACGAATTGTGAAATGACGCAAGTGTCCGTATAAACGAGGCACGACTGTAGCACTTAGAGCGCTTATTATGACGAATACGGTATGTTATGAGGCTGTGTTGATTCAAGGGGGGTTGTTACTCTGAGGATAGGATAACCTGAGAGATAACGATGTCAGAACAGTGTCAGGTGGCTGTTAACACTGATTATCTACCAAATGTCATTGGATACGCTAAAGACGCAGTGGTATGTACGATATTTCAAATCAATTGCTAATTCTTGTCTGTATTAGAAATGAATAGCAACATGTTATTTATGGAGGCCGAAAACTCAACTTGAAAACCCCCCAACTGAAATAGATTTGATGTTATATCGTTACGAAACAGAAAACAACTTCCGTAAGGTAAATAACGAAAAATCTCAATTCTGTGGTGAGTGAGTGAGTGAGTATGGTTTTACGCCCCTTTTAGCAATATTCCAGCAATATCATGGCGGGGGACACGAGAAATGGGCTTCACACATTGTACCCATGTCGGGAATCGAACCCGGGTCTTCGGCGTGACCAGAGAAAGCTTTAACCACTAGGCTAACAGGCCAACCCCTTAATTCTGTAAGCCATGCGACTATATTGAATACTCAAATCAGTATGTCAATCAATCTCTCCATGCTTCGGCTGATATAAGCAATACGTTAACCAAACTGTACGCCACCATGATACATCAGCAATAGAAAGAGAACTTCAGACCAGATTGTCTTGGCCTAGATACATTTTATCAGACCCGGAAGTGCACAGAGGTTATTGAACTTGTTAAATTACAGTGTGCTCAGATAACTTTGCTGACACTGCTAGACTTACACGCATAGGATCATCAGTCTAAAGACATGTATGGTAGCGGATGATTCTCACTATAAGTTGCACACTAAGAAAGTAGGCGTCGCTGTTATAACAATGTATACAAACTGCTACTGTTGTTGTGCACAACCATTAATTTAACACTTGTGGTGTAATAACTATACATATATATGCTGTAATCTTCATAGTATCTAGGAAATAAAGAATACCTACCTACCAATCCACCAACCCGCCCTCCTACTTACCTACCTACCTACCCAGCCACCCACCTACCCATCTACCTACCTACCCAGCCACCCACCTACCTACCCACCCACCTCCCCACCCACCTACCTACCTACCTACCTACCTACCTACCCAGCCACCCACCTACCCACCCACCTACCTATACCTACCTACCTACCTACCTAGCCACCCACCTACCTACCTACCTACCTACCCAGCCACCCACCTACCTACCTACCTACCTACCTACCTACCCAGCCACCTACCTACCTACCTACCTACCCATCCACCCACCCGCCCTCCTACCTACCCAGCCACCTACCTACCTACCTAC